TTGCAGCCCGTCCATCGAAGCAGGCAGGCAGGCAGGCGGGCGGGCGGGCGGTCAATGGGGGGCTCCGGTGGGCGGGGCGCCGCGCCCCCAGCCAATGGGAGGCGGAGAGGCGGAGAAAGCCTTGAAGGGGGGGCTCCCTCCCCTCCAGGTGGAAGAGGAGATGCTGGAAGGGAAGGAAGGGAGAAGGAAGGAAGGAAGGAAGGAAGGAAGGAAGGAAGGAAGGAAGGAAGGAAGGAAGGAAGGAAGGAAGGAAGGAAGGAAGAGGTAAAACATGGCACACTTGGGGGGCGGGGGCGGGGGAGGGGGCGCGGCCTGCCTCCCTCCCTCCTGACGGGGCCCAAGAGCCTTGGATAGACGGTGGGTGGGTGGGCGGGGCTGGGGGGGCTGCCTGCCTCTCGCCTGCCTTGGTGCGGAGGGCTCGGGGGGGGGGGCGGGCGGGCCTCCTCCTCCGCTCCTCCCCAGGTCGGCCCCCTCCCTCTCTCCCTCCCCCCCCCGGGGGCCCTTGGCCCCCTCCGCCCTTGAGCCCGAGGCTCGCCGAGTGGGAAGGCCCCCCCCGGCCCCACCCGCCCCCCCTTTCTGCCCGGAGGGAGGGAGGGAGGGAGGGCAGGAAGGAAGGAGGCAAGGCAGGCTGCCCAGCCAGCCAGCCAGCCAGCTCAGCAAGCGCTGAAGCCCCCCGCTTGCCGAATGCCTGCCTGCATGCCTGCCTACCTACCAAGCGGGAGGAGGAGAAGAAGGAAGAGGAGGAGGAGGGGAGGAGGGAGGAGGAGGAGGAGGAGGAGGAGTTCGCCACGAAAGGAGCCGAGGGCAGAGAGGGAGGGGCCGGGTTGGTAGGCCCTCCTGCCCCCCCCCGGCAGAAGGAGGGGCGGGGCTGGCAGCCAGGGCGTGCCCCCCACCACAGGAATCCAAACACCCCCCAAAGAGGGAAGAAAGGCCCCTCCCTTCGAAGGGAGAGAGAGAGGCGGGGCCACGCCCAGAGGCCGAACCCAGCAGCCCCGCCCCCCTCGCCAGCCCCCTGGGCTTCTTTCTCGGGGGGGGGGCACTTTGGGAGTTCTATCGGGTGTTGTAAGCCGAATTGATGGTTTGGGTCTCCCTTTCCCCTATCTCCCCCTACCTGATACCACCTCTATGCCTCCCCCCCTCCCTCGCCCCCCCCCCCGTCTTCATCCCACCCTCAGAGACATTTAATAAGGCAATAACTTGAGAAAGGAACTTGAGTTCATGGTCCCTTGGAGGAGGGAGTTCGTGAGAGGAAGTGGGTTCTTCTGAGTCCAAAACGTGTGACAGAGAGTTCCGAATCCTTGGGAAGAGCTGGCTGACTCCCACTGAGCCCGAGGGGGGGGGGGGGGATTCCTGTGTTGGCCCTAGGTCCTTGGGAAACTAGAGCTCCTTCCAAGGGCCGGGACCCCAAAGCCAGGCTCTTCCCCGAACAAGTCCTCATGGGGGAACCGCACCGCGTGTCCAGGTCAGGGGCTCGGCAGGAGCCCAGACGGGAAGGCCAGGCACAGCCGCCGGGCAGCAGCAACGGAACCGGCCTTTGGACAATCCGCTGTTCCTTGTAAGATATCGTCTTCAAAAGGTCATTCCCCCAGCGGAAAAGCCATGAAGGGGGAGAGCGAGATGGCAGATAGGGTTAGAATTTAATCAGAAAGAAAACATGAAATTAACATGGAGCCCATTGATTAACCCGTGGATAGCGAGACCACGTGGGCAGTTTCAGTATCCGTGGTTTGATCAGGGACATCCCGGGCAGGCAGAAAGCCGCCTGTGGCCCAGGAAGGGGTCATTCCTGCATTTATACTGTTTCAGGCAAAGAAAAGGACGCAAAGGATCATCAGACGGGGAGAGGTAAAGGATACAGTTCAATTAATGTTCATTAGGGGTTAGCTACAAAGTTGGGATTGGGGAAAGAAATGGGGCAAGAGGCTCATTGTTAGAGAAAGTTCTAAACTGAGATTACGGTTGAGGAGGCACATTCCATCGGTTTGGGCTCAACTAAGCATCCAGGCAAGTTGTGGCAAGTCCTTGGTGGGATGGGCATCCCAAGCGCCCTTCCCTCTCTCTCTCCTGAGGAATCTGGACAAGGACCAAGGAGCCACAGTCAGAACTGACCACGGAGGAACAGGAGACGGGTTCCAGATTGGGAAAGGCGTAGTACGGCAAGGCTGCATCCTCTCACCCAACCTATTCCACTTGTGCAGAACACATCATGCAATGTGCGGGGCTTGACAAATGCAAGGCTGGGGTTAAAATTGCTGGAAGAAATATTAACAACCTTAGATATGCAGATGACACCACTCTGATGGCCGAAAGCGAGGAGGAGCTGAGGAGCCTTCTAATCAAGGTGAAAGAAGAAAGCGCAAAAGCTGGGTTGCAGCTAAACATCAAAAAAACCAAGATTATGGCAACAAGAATGATTGACAACTGGGAAATAGAGGGAGAAAATGTGGAGGCCGTGACAGACTTTGTATTTCTAGGCGCAAAGATGACTGCAGATGCAGACTGTGGCCAGGAAATCAGAAGACGCTTCCTTCTTGGGAGGAGAGCAATGTCCAGTCTCGATAAAATAGTAAAGAGTAGAGACATCAGACTGGCAACCAAGATCCATTGCCTAGTCAAAGCCATGGTCTTCCCTGTAGTAGTCACCTACGGATGTGAGAGCTGGACCTTAGGGAAGGCTGAGCGAAGGAAGAGAGAGGCTTTTGAGCTGTGGTGTTGGAGGAAAGTGCTGAGAGTGCCTTGGACTGCGAGAAGATCCAACCAGTCCATCCTCCAGGAAAGAAAGCCCGACTGCTCACTGGAGGGAAGGAGACTAGAGGGAAAGCGGAAGTCCTTTGAATGCCACATCATGAGGAGACAGCAAAGCCTAGAGAAGGGAATGATGCTGGGGAAAGTGGAAGGCAAAAGGAAGAGGGGCCGACCAAGGGAAAGGTGGATGGATGGCATCCTTGAAGGGACTGGACTGACCTTGATGGAGCTGGGGGTGGTGACGGCTGACAGGGAGCTCTGGCGTGGGCTGGTCCATGAGGTCATGAAGAGTTGGAGACGACTGAACGAATGAACAACAAGCATCCAGGAACTGCGGAACTCCCCGCTGCAGGTCAAATTAGGGCCAGAAGCAGGGTCCTGGGCCGGGCCCGGCATCAGGGTGATGGAATATCACATTTGGTGGGAAAATGCAGTTAAGTGCCAGGAGGGACCTAAAAATAGCATTGAAATGACAGGTAGGCCCAGCCTTAGTGGCGTGGAGCCTTCCCAGCAGCGGTGGTATCATTAATAGTAATAACACCAACATCAGTGGGATTGTAGTAGATGGCAAAGGGCACTGAACCCCCCAAGGAAGGAAGGGCTGTGGCGAATGGGGGGGGGCAGTTCAGGGAGGGGAAAGGACTGGATTCAAACCTCCGAGGGAGGCAGTTAAGACCATAAAATGGATGGGCCTCCTGCAGAATAATGTGGCAACACTGGACTGAGGTGCGGTCTTGCTGGGCAGAGTACAGAGAACAACCACAACCCCCCCAGTGGATCCAAAGACAACAACCAGCATCAACTGTGCAGCCATTGCCTTCTTCTTCCCCTCCTGGCAGGCCGAGCCCTCTGCTTGGCTGCCAGAGAGAGGCTCCTCCTCCTCCGATGGCTCCGTGGCCTGGAGGTGGTGGCGTGGCCACTGCCCAGCAATGGAAGGCGATGCAAGGCAGATGGGCCGGGAGACCTAGGACTCCATTCGTTGCACAAATGGGCCCCTAAAGCCTCCTCTCAAGATCTTCACGGAGAGCTCCCTCTGGATCCCAGCACAGAGTCAGCCCGAGCACTCGCAGGAGGCGAAGGAGTGATGGCAGTAACACTGGAGTCGGCAACAGCAAGGGCCTGCTCATCTCCGTGATTGCATCTTCCTCGATGAACCCGTGCGTCCCTTGAGATCCTCTGGGCAGGCGCTGCTCTCTCTCCCCCCAACGACGTCTCAAGCACGGTTGGTGGGGACGCGGGAGAGGCCTTCTCAGTGGTGGCCCCCCGGCTCTGGAACTCCCTCCCCAGGGAGATCAGGCAGGCTCCTACTTTGTCCTCTTTCCGGAGTCAACTGAAAACCTGGGTGTCCTGGTGTGCTTTTGATCAGGATTTTCCTGTCCCTGCTTAAAGTTCAGCCCTTTCCACCGGCCGGCCCTCTGACGGTCTCCCTCAACATGTGTTGACGGCAGCATTTCCAGCCCTGCTCCCTCTTGGGTTGTTATTGCACTTTCCTTGCGCTCCTGTCGGAATGTATTGCACTCGTTGTGTCTGCATCTCAGCCGTGTTCTTGTCTCAGCCTTATTGTTTTTATGCTGTGTACAATTGTTGTTTTGTATTTTATTTTATCTGGTGTTTTTTAATCAGCTAAACTGTTTTATTTGTGTGTTTTACTTGTAATTGTGGGCTTGTCCCCTGTCAGCCGCCCCGAGTCCCTTAGGGGAGATGGCTGGCGGGGTATAAAAATAAAGTTGTTATTATTATTATATTATTAGTTGGAATGCCAACAACCAGCTTTGAGAGGCCGGGGCCTCCCTGTAAGGGTGGGCGGGGGGGGGGGCAAAATGGAAGATGTATTTGTTTGTTTATTTTGCATATTTGTATCCCGTCCTTCTCACACACACACACACACACACACACACCCCGGAGGGGACTCAGGGCGGCTTCACAAGGGGCGTTCATTTAGTGCCATCAACAGAAAGAAATAGTCATAGTAATTAAAACAACATTTTCTTTCATGATTAGAAATGCTTTCAGGTTTCTATCAAACCAAATGAGGCTTCATGCGTAACCTTTTCCTTTTCCTTCCTTGACCAGGACGTGAGGGTTCAATGGAGCCTCCCCTGGACCGATGGGACACAAACCAGTTCCTAGCAGACCGTGACAAATTTGGAAACCAAAGTGCAAAAAGGAAGCCAGCGCGATATGAACAATAAATCCCCTCAAGGTGCTGATCTTGTTGAAGTCTTGAACTCATTTTAGATCAGAAAGGGAGAGACAAGTGTCCACGTTGCAATTAAATGTACCTAATGGAGGAGAAAGCCTATCAATGTCTTGAATGTGGAAAGCGCTTCCATCTGCACGGACATCTAAAGAGACACCAAAGGACTCGGCTCTGAATGCCTGGCGCGTGGGCAGAGCTTCACTCCTTGTTCGGTGTGGCTTTTTAGTATTGTAGGAAGCCCCCCCCCCCTTTCTTTCCTCCATGCATCCATCCATCCATTTATTCTTTTCATCCTCCCGCTTCTTTCCATCTGAATTCATCTCTTATTGATGATGATGATGATGATTTTTATTATTAATGCCCCACTTTACCTCCCCAAAGGGGACTAAAGGCATCTTGACTTAAAAGCATTAGTATCCGATTGAAAACGTACAAATAACACAAACACCCTCTGGGTACGTCCCTTCAGGAAGGACCGGAGCCAGTGAGGCGACCCAGAAGGATCCCGTGATTTATACATCCGTGATCACCTTTGCTGATTTCTGTGTGTGTTCTTGAGACCTTCCCTAACTCAATTTGTGTGGTATTTCCGTTTTCAACATGAGCCATGAAGGGAAAAGAGGATAGTATTGGAAATAAAGGAGGGTTGCAGCTTCTTGTTTAATTTTCTGCTTCTTTCTTGAACAGGGAAATGAAGACCCCATGAAGTCACCTTCGGCATGATGAGAAAACATCAGCATCTAGTGGATATTTCGGAGTTTGGAAACAAACGCGCAATAACGAAAGAAATCCCATAGGAAGAAGAAATCCACTCTAGGTGCTGATTTTGTGGAACTCACTTTCAATCAGATAAAAGGGAGGACTCAAGTGTCCATATTATAATCAATCATATACCTAACCGTCAACATGGAGAAGAAACCCTATAAATGTCTGGAGTTTGAACAGAGCTTTGCTGAAAGCGAAGCTCTACATAAACATCAAAGGACACACACTGGGGAGAAACCCTATAAATGCCTGGAGTGCGGACAGAGCTTCACTCAGAATGGAAGTCTATGTTCACATCAGAGGACGCACACTGGGGAGAAACCCTATACATGCCTGGAGTGTGGACAGAGCTTCACGCAGAGAGGAAATCTTAGTTCACATCAAAGGACTCACACTGGGGAGAAACCTTATACATGCCTGGAATGTGGGCAGAGCTTCACTCAGAGGGCACATCTATGTTTACACCAAAGGACTCACAATGGGGAGAAACCCTATACATGCCCAGAGTGTGGACAGAGCTTTGCTCAGAGTGGGAATTTATGTTTACATCTAAGGACTCACACTGGGGAGAAACCTTATAAATGCCTGCAGTGTGGACAGAGCTTCACTCAGAGAGGTCATCTACGTTCACATCAAAGGACTCATACTGGGGAGAAGCCCTATACATGCCCAGAGTGTGGACAGAGCTTCGCTCAGAGGCCACATCTACGGTCACATCAAAGGACTCACACTGGGGAGAAACCCTATACATGCCCAGAGTGTGGACAGAGCTTTGCTCGAAGTGGAAATCTACGGTCACATCAAAGGACTCACACTGGGGAGAAACCCTATCCATGCCTGGAGTGTGGGCAGAGCTTCACTCAGAGAGGACATCTACTTTCACATCAAAGGACTCACACTTGGGAGAAACCCTATAAATGCTTGGAGTGTGGACAGAGTTTCACGCAGAGTGGAAGTCTACGTTCACATCAAAGGACTCACACTGGGGAGAAACCTTATGCATGCCTGGCGTGTGGGCAGAGCTTCACTCATAGTTCAGGTCTACATTCACATCAGAGAATTCACACTGGGGAGAAACCCTATACATGCCTGGAGTGTGGACAGCGCTTCACTGAAAGTGGAAGTCTACGCTCACATCAAAGGACTCACACTGGGGAGAGACCCTATAAATGCCAGCGGTGTGGACAGAGCTTCACTCAGAGTTCAAATCTACATCGACATCGCAAAATTCACACTGGAGAGAATGGAGAAATTTGACACAAGATAGTCTTTCTAACATATACAAAAGCAACTCTTGTAAATTTTGGAAATGCAAGCACAAAATTGGGACATTTTATCACATGTGGTTTATTGTAGAAAGATTGAACTAAAATACATTCCAGCCTGGAAGTAATTAAAGTGAACAGGGTTTTTTTGTTGAGAATACTGGATGATGTCAGTTGGAAAAATTTATTGATTTGAAATGTTATCAAAAGTAGACGTGTGATTATAAAACATTATATAAAGTGAGTAGCACTGTAAGGGATAAAAATTAAACTGAAGCTTGTAGAAAAGTACCCATGTCTCTCTGTTGTTAGGTTAGTTCCCTTTGTGTGCCTATGTAGGAACTCTGAGTATGCCAACCAAATTCGATAGGGTTGTTGAGACAGTTTTAACGAGGGGATTTTAACGTCAGGGTAAGTGATTTTAATGTTTTTGTTATGTGTATAGTCTAGTATGTTTCAGCATTGAATGTTTGCCATTTATGTGTTGTGCTCTGCCCCAATTCCCCTTTGGGTTGAGAAGGGCGGGATATGCCTGCTTTAAATAAATAAATATATGTGTGTTTCTTAATGACTTCAATACAATTGCCCTACTTCTGCTGGGCGGATGTTTACCAGCTTGACGCCAAAGACACTAAACCGCCCCATGAGCGCTTCAAGCCTGTGATCGCTTGCTCCCACCGGCAGTCGTTCAGGGAAGTTCAGCTTGCCGTCTGCAGCCGTCTCCGTCGCAGGTCCGGGTGGGCTACGCCAGACCTACCTTGCCAGCCTTTGCTCTGCCGCCGTTCCATCTCTGCCCTTGCGGCTCTTTTGGGAGGGCCGTGCCTCGTCCATTCGGTCCCCCAGAAACTTGGCTGGCTGCACACCGGAGCAAGCCGACCATCAGCCCCCACGGAGCCAAAAAAAAGGATACCACCGGCCACAACGAACTCGCCGCAACACCCACCCACTGGCCCCCACCAAGCCTGGCAAGGCCAGTGAGAGACTGTCCAGTGCTGGGGTCTACTTAGCACAAAGATGTTGGAGTGGGGAGAAAAAAGAGAAGGGGAGAAAAAGAGAAGGGCTCTCAGTTTAATGGGGTATGAGGGATGCAGAAAGAGAGAGGAAGATCAGGAAGAAGAGAGTTTAAGTAGGAGAAAGGGGAGAAGAGCCAGGAAAGAACTGGAGAAGGAAAAGGAAGGGGGCAAGAACCAAGGTAGCTAAGCGAGAGAGTTGGAGGGAGGGATTTGGGGGTGATTTATATTAGCAAGGGAAGAATAGTAAAAGAGGAGTAAGGAAGATTCAGAAGGTGATAGAGGGTAAGAGGAAGTGAGAGGGAGAGGAGGATTGGGAAGAGAAGGGGAGAAGGTTAGCGAAGGGAAAGAAGAGTTGAGTGAAGAGAAGGCCTGGGAGGAAGAGAGTGAGAGGAAGATCAGGAAGAGAGAGCAAGGGAATAAGATGAGTTGGGCAAGGAAGGGAAAGGAGGAATAGAGAAAGTGATAGGAGGTAAGAGGAAGTGAGAAAAGTGGTAGAAGGTTTGCGAGGGGAAGAGAGAACAGGCAAAAAGGAAGGGAAGTTAGAAGAGAATTGGAAAGAAGATTAGGAAAGAGAGGGAGGGAAGGAGGGAGGATAAAATGATTTAGGCAAGGAAGGGCAAAGAAGAATAAGTAGAGTGAAGCAGAAAGGGTTGGAGGAAGTGAGAGAGAGACAGAGCGGGAAAGACAGAAAAGGAACCCAAGCCCTTAGAGTTGCAATTGAGTTAGTTGCAGGACTGTTGTCCTCCCGGCCACCTTGCCTCCCCGTTCCCGAGTGAAGGTCGCCTCCATCTTATCCGCGTGCGGCTATCGGAGATCTCCCTTTACGGAGGACAATGGCTGACCTCGGGAGACTGCGGAATGGGTCAAACCGTGTGCCTCTTTCTCAATCATATAGAGGCACTTAACAAAAAAATAGACCACCTGATTACTACTACTACTACTACTAATAATAATAATAATACTCTTTATTTATGCCCTGCCACCATCTCCCCCAACGGAGACTCGGGGCGGCTTACATGAGGCCAAGCCCAAGCAGCAAATTACAGCAAAATAAAATCAAAAACACAAGCAGCAAACAACATCATCATCATTACATAAAAACATATGAATATATTAGCAATATAAAATTACAATACACACAATCGCAGTGACAATGGGCAGGCCACGTGTGCAGAATAAAATGATTAAAAAAACTCAGGTGAGATAAAAGGAGGAGCAGATTATTTGCAAAGGGGCGCTCATAAAAAAATGGGGTCATGGGACCAAGCTTTCCTACAGGGAGGGGGGGGGGAATTTACTCCAGTGACAGAAATGTTGAGGGTGAGCAATAATGTGAGGTTGTGTACCTACTCACCAAAGGCACAACAGAAGAGCCAGGTTTTAAGATTCTTTTTAAAGGTTTCTAGGGCAGGGGCTTTCCTAATCTCTCTAGGTAATGAGTTCCAGAGTTGGGGGCCACAGAGGGTTGTGAGAGTGGTCCAGCATTTCTGTGTTCTCAAATAATCTGCTGTGTCCAGGTTGGTTCATCAGTGCTCTGCTATGCTGACTTCTCTGGTTGAAGTAGTCTGCAGTGCCTTTCATGTTCCTTGATTCATGTTTGGGCAATGCTGCTGCGTTTGGTGGTCCCTATGGAGACTTGTCCACAGCTGCATGGTACACGGTAGACTCCTGCAGAGGTGAGAGGATCCCTTTTGTCCTTTGAAAAACAAGCTCTTGAAACAGCAACCAAAAGCCCACGATATGGTTCAGATATGTGGATGACACCTTCACCATTTGGAGCCATGGAGAAGAAGAACTCAACAGGTTCCTGGACCATCTTAACAGCATCCACCCAAACATCCAATTCACAATGGAAAAAGAAAATGAAGGAAGACTGCCTTTTCTAGATGTCCTAGTCATCCGCAAACCAGATCAACAATTGGGTCACACAGTTTACAGAAAACCTACACACACAGATAGATATCTACATAAAAACTCCAACCATCACCCAAGTCAAAAAAGAAGCACCATTAAAGCCTTGGCAGACCGTGCAAAAAGAATCTGCGAACCCCACCTCCTCCAAGATGAACTGAACCACCTCAACTGGGCTCTCCAGGCCAATGGATACTCCACCTCAGACATCAGAAGAGCTGCAAGACCGAGAACAAGCCACAAGAATAAAGACGAAGATCCACCCAGAGGAAAAGTGTTCTTGCCATACATCAAGGGAACCACTGACCGCATAGGGAAGCTGATGAGGAAACACAACATACAAACCACCTACAGACCCACCAAGAAAATCCAACCAATGCTCCGTTCAGCAAAGGACAAGAGGGACCCTCTCACCTCTGCAGGAGTCTACCGTGTACCATGCAGCTGTGGACAAGAAGTCTCCAGAGGGACCACCACACGCAGCCGCATTGCCCAAACACGAATCAAGGAACATGAAAGGCACTGCAGACTCTTCAACCAGAGAAATCAGCCATAGCAGAGCACCTGATGAACCAACCTGGACACAGCATATTTGATAACACAGAAATGCTGGACCACTCTCACAACCACCATGTCAGACTACACAGAGAAGCCATTGAAATCCACAAGCATGTGGACAATTTCAACAGAAAGGAGGAGACCATGAAAATGAACAAAATCTGGCTGCCAGTATTAAAAAACTCTAAAATTACAACAGCAAAACAGAAGAGAGGAAACAACCAAGCACAGCTTAACACCTCTCAACAAAAGGTTTTCCCAGGCTCAGGCAGGCCTTCAAATGCTAATGAAGGTGGTCAGTTGAAACATTCACACCTAGCTCCAGCAGAGAAGAGATCTTGGCCCCACCCCAGTCATTCCACAGATATATAAACCCATTGTCCTAGTTCCAACAGACCTCACTACCTCTGAGGATGCTTGCCATAGATGCAGGCGAAACGTCAGGAGAAATGCCTCTAGAACATGGCCATATAGCCCGAAAAAACCCACAAGAACCAACCCTAACTATGATAATAAATATAATATAATAGAATTGCATCTTTGTGCTTGGCAGAATGGGTTGGGACTGGATGGCCTTGGGGGTCACTTCCAACTGCCTGAGGCTAAGAATAAATAAGGAATTAGTAATTAATGAATAAGGACAACATAGTAATGTCATCTTCCTGCTCGGGCCAGAGGAAGGGGAAGGCCATTTTACACCACTTTCTAAGGGTGAGAGAAAGAGGAGGGCAATTGTAAACGCACTGCACCACCAGGAACTCAATGATGATAATAATAACAATAACTACTTAATAATAATAATAATTCATAATAATAATAATAATAATAATAATAATACAAGCCATTAGAACAAATGCCATCCAAGCCAGAATTGAAAATTCAATGATAGATCCCAAGTGTAGACTCTGCAAGGAAGCAGATGAAACACTAGATCCCATCCTCAGCTTCTGCAAGAAGATCGCGCAGACAGACAGACAGACTCCAAGCAGAGGCACAACACCCTTGCTCAGGTGATCCACTGGAACTTGCGCCACAAACACTATCTGCCTGCGACAAAGAACGGATGGGATCACAAGCCGGAAAAAGTTACAGAGAATGAACACGCCAAACTCCTCTGGGACTTCCGGATTCAGACAGACAGAGTTCTGGAGCACAAGACTCCTCACCTCATGATCGTGGGGAAAAAACCAAGTATGGCTCGTGGATGTCGCAATCCCAGGCGACAGCAGGATGGAAGAGAAACAGCTGGAAAAGCTGACACGATGTGAGGATTGAAAGATGGAACTGCAAAGACTGTGGCACAAGCCAGTCGGGGTGGACCCTCCCAGTGGGGATCGGCACACTGGGCGCAGTGCCCAAAGACCTTGGCCTGCACTCAAACACAATTGGCGCTGACAAAGTTACCACCTGCCAGCTGCGGAAGGCCAATTACAAAAACTGTAGATTGCAATTCACAATTTCTATGTTCCAAGAAATTCTACATTGAATGTAACATGAGAACATTAACACGATTAATTAGAGACTGTTTATAAATAGAAGATAGTTTATCAATACCTTGTCAACACAGTGAAACTAGAGCTTCCAAAATAACAATTACTATAGACCAGGAGATTCTTCATAGGTATACAAATATTACTGAATGTCATATAATGAAACTTCAGTTTTCAAAATCAGTGACACAAAATGATACTTTCTATGTTGTAGAAAGTTCTTCTTCACTAAACAACATCAGTGACAGTGACACACAACAAGGTCTCCTGGGTTGTTTCCCTTGTTTCGCAATATCTTCTTCAGGTGTTATGATGTTTTAATTCACTAAATAAGAAACACAGCGACATACAGATAATAGATATACTACAATCCCCGAATTGACATAGTTTTTCAAAGGTTGTTGTTATACACGCTTGACTACTTACATTCCAGTTGGTAGCTATTGGTTCTGTTTTGAGTTCCTATCAGCATTTATAGTCTTTGGATTCACTAGATAGGAAACAGGACAATATATAAACAAAATGGTATAATAAAATGCCCAAACACCCCACTGTTTGAGGGGATTTTCAAAACCCATGTAAGTCTACTTACATTCCTGCATGAAGAATCTCCTGGTCTATAGTAATTGTTATTTTGGAAGCTCTAGTTTCACTGTGTTGACAAAGTATTGATAAACTATTTTCTATTTATAAACAGTCTCTAATTAATCGTGTGAATGTTCTCATGTTACATTCAATGTAGGATTTCTTGGAACATAGAAATTGTGAATTGCAATCTACAGTTTTTGTAGTTGTTGTTATAGATAATATCTGTGCGTGTTACACCAGCTGCAGAAGGCCGCCTGGCTGGGATCTGCGCGCATGATTGGCCGACACATCCCACAGCCCGAGACCAGGGGTCTGCTCACTTCCTGAACAGAGGGCCAGGCCACAGTCCCTCAGCCTGTTGGACGAATCCCTCTGAGCGCAGCTGCACATGATTCCTTATTTGTAGTGCAAAAAACACTTTAAAACAATACAATGCCGTAATCAGGGCGGTAAATAAACAGGGGAACTCTGGGCAGGAAACAATCAGGGCCAGCAAATTATTATTATTATTATTATTATTATTACTTTGTTTGTACCCCGCTAGCATCTCCCGGAGGATTCAATGCAGCTTACACAGGCCGAAGCCCCAAAACACAATACAACAATACAATACCTAAAGCAAAT